TTACTGTTTATTAATAAATTTATATATGATTTTCATATACATTTTACTAATTTCCTTTCATCTCTCACACTTCTATTATAGAGAAAGGGCAAATAGCAATATTAAAATATCTCTGCTAATTAATTCCCTTTTTAAAAAAATATATTTTATTGATTTTTTACAGAGAAAAAGGGAGAGGGATAGAGAGTTAGAAAAATCGATGAGAGAGAAACATCGATTAGCTGCCTTCTGCACACTCCCCACTGGGGATGTGCCCGAAACCAAGGTACATGCCCTTGACCGGAATCGAACCCGGGACCCTTGAGTCTGCAGGCCGATGCTCTATCCACTGAGCCAAACCAGTTAGGGTAATTAATTCCCTTTTAATGTGCATGAATTTTGTGCACCGGGCTACTAGTTTTATATAAAGGTAGTTTGGTATCTATGGGGAATCCTGGAAACAGTCTTTCACAGATGATAAGGGATGATTGTGTATTTTTATTATTTATTTATTTTTATTGATTTCAGAGAGGAAGGGAGAGGGATAGAGAGAAACATCAATGATAGAGAATCATTGATAGGCTGCCTCTTTATGCCCCCTACTGGGGGAGATCGAGCCTGCAACCTAGGCATGTGCCCTTGGCCGGAATCGAACCTGGGGCCCTTCAGTCTGCAGGCCGACTCTCTATCCACAGTGCCAAACCAGCTAGGGCTGACTGTGTATTTTCAAAAAGAAAATTGAAACCATTTCTCTCTTTTTAGTTCACAATGACCTCATTTAAGTAATGTAGCAAATGTGTAAGGGGAGAAAGAAAATGGATGCTGGAGGGAGGGAACAGAATATTAATTGGTGGTTTTAGCCTGCCAGGGGCGGGACCTACATCTAGAACTGAAACTGTGAATAAGAATGCCACACCTCTTAGCCACTTCTGTGCATTTGACTTCTGTGGGAGCTTGGTTTGTTCGCTTTCAGGATGTGCTGCTCACTTCCCTTTGTTCACACAAAACCCTGCAAGTGTCCCAGCAGAGCAGCTCCCAGAGAGTGGGGGTAAAGCATCAAGAACTGCCCTCCAGCAGCAAAATGTATATTCCTGCACACAGTGTGCACAGCGCTGGGGTTTGCAGTGGTCTTTGGGGGCTTCTCTTTCAGATACTGCCTTCCAGGGCTTTCTGGGAAAATGAAATTTCTGAGTAATATCCTGGCCCCTCTGACAAAACCAGTAAGGCAGCAAGGCAGAGGGAGATGGGAGTCCAAGATGAATGCAGCCCTCCTGGTCAGACACATTTATGGGTTAACGTTAAGTCTTTTGGATTTTTCCACAACCAGCAAAAGCCTAAAGTTTATGACCTATTTTCTGCTCTGCTGGGCTTCCTCATGTTTCATTCCCTTAGCATGGAAGCCGGAGGTGACTGTCATTTGTTCCTATGTCAAGAAAGCTCCCCCTGCTTACCTTTTTATCACCCCTCCATCTCTTCCAACCCTCCACAGCTGTGGCTTTTAACAAAGCTGTCTAGACATGCATAGGGGTGCCCTCTCAACCCTGCACCCCAGTGTGTCACTGGCTGCCCCAGCTCCAGTCTGTCCCCAACTGAACCTGAGAAGTGCCTTACAGGAGGAGTCCAGACAGAGTCCTGAAGGAAGAGGGGTCATTGCTCCTATCACGTGCGGGAATTATTTATTGAATTGCTGGCCTTGCTATCAGAAAGCAGTTAGAAATACAGAAAGCGCTGCACAAAGTGAGTGGGCTATTCAAGCACTGAGAGACACTGGCACAGTTGTCAACAGTTTTAGAGAAGAAAGAAAGGGAAGACAGAACTAGCCCTGGGTTGGGCCCACCACTCGATGGATGACCTCACAGCTCTCTGCAGTGTTGGTTTTATCGCATATAAAACTGGAACGTTGGTTCCTACCACCAGATTGTTAAAAGGATGCGATTATAATGCGTTATTGTTACAAAATGAAACTGTCTTTTGGGATTGGTCATTATTGTCTTGAATTATTTTCTTGGTCCTCATTTCTGGTTCTCTTAACCAGGCCCTGAGCAACTAATGAATTCAGTTCCTCTGGTCTTCTCATTCCCCTCCCAGCTCATCTGGTATCAGTGCTGAAGGCTGCCCCTCAAGTTCCACAGTAAGACCTGGGTTTTGAACCTTGGCTTTCTGTGCCTGTGGTCACTTTGAACCCTTCTTGTGAGCCTTCCTTACACTGGTTTGTGCTCAGTGCTGTGGTTGAACTGACCTTTCCACCTTGCCTGCACTCAGCCCTACATCTAAGTTTGTGTAATTGAAGCCTCCTTGCCTCCCCAATCTAATAGGGCAAGCATGTCAAACTCAAAGGCTAATACAGGCCAAATAAACAAGGCATGCGGCCAGCGGGCTCCGAGTTTGACATGCTTGTAATAGGGTCATTCTTCTCTACTGTTTGGAAGAAGTTAAGAAACCAACCCCGGGGAGTGGAAAGAACTAAGGTTGTCATCCTAACTCTGCCATTTGCTAGCTTTTCCTATTCTTATCTGTAAAATGGAATGTTACCTACCACCGGGGATCTTTTGGAGTATTAGAACAGGCCTCATCTTTAGGAATTATCTAGAACAGTGCCTGCCACATAAGTAGGTGCTCAGTAACTATCAGTGTCTTCCTTGCTATTACATGTGGTCATACACACAACGGCCAGTTATCCCGTCGTGCTGCATCTTCCTTGTACATGAAGATGATACACTTCCCTTCCATCACATTCTGGGCTTCATGAGTTGTTTTTTCAGAAGTTGGATTTGTGCCTTAGCCCTGGGGATAGCCAACATAGGTTGTTGATTCAGCAAGTCAGCTGGGTTTTTAGACAGATAATGTGTGACTGTGGTACAGAAACTATAGCTGGCTTCTGTGGGAATTGAACCCGTGATTCAACCCAGGCACTGCATTTGATGACAGCAGCACCTTTGAGGCATCGGAGAGTGCACCATTTGCTTCTGAGCACTCTCACTCTCGTTTGACTCTTGAAAGAGTTCTGGGACATAGACAGATTCTCACTCTACAGAGAAGAAAATGAGACCCCAAAAGGTATCACACCAGTAGTCATTGGTAGAACCCAGGACAGGAACAGAAATGCCTTGATTTTTCTACAGGACTTCTACAGGACTTCTGTGAGGTTTTGAACCCAGATGACAGCCATAGTTCTGGCTGTCCCAGTGAAAATTTAGTGCTCCACCACAGAATCCTCCAGTTTTCCTGTCCCGTGTATACTTGGTATCCATTTCTTACAGAATATTCATTAATTCATTGAATGAGTTGTGTGCTGGGTACTCTAGGCACTGAGGATACTGTCAGAAATGAAAGACATGGACAAAACCCCTGCCATGCCCCAATGAAGCTTCTGTGGTAGGAGGCTGACCATAAACAAGTAAGAGAGAGGGCCAGCCCTGAGTGCTGTGGGGACAAACAAGGCAGAAAGAAAGCTGGGGTGGGGTGGGGCAGACACTGTGAGTTTTCTCTTAGATTCCCTGTGCTTATTGTCTTATCCATGTAAGGCTGCGTTCGTTCCCTGCGGGCCCATCATGCCTAGTACAGATTCCTGCATATCAGGGCTTTTGGAGACGGATTTTGCAGTTGAGTCAGCCTAACGCAGTAGAAGCAGGCACAGGGGCTGTCTGCTTACCCACTAAGATGCCCAAGAACTCCCAGAGCAGAGCTGGGTAGCCTGGTTTGTTGGGGCTCCAGCCTGTGCTGTATTTTCCTTCCAGATCATTTGTTAAATCTATAGCTCCCCCTGCTGTTAAAAGATGGGATGGTCTCCCAACTCATCTTTTGAAATAGGGGTTTGTTTGTGTGTGTGTGTGTGTGTGTGTGTGTGTGTGTGTGTGTTTAACACTAAGATTTAATTATTATTATTATTTAATAAGTACTACTGGGACATTTGGAGCTTTGTTCTGGAACTGCTGTTGCTGAGGCCCAGGGTTGGGATGGAGGGAGGAAGTGCCAAGGCCCAGGCAGGATAGGTCATATCTATGCTCTGGCTACTTTTAGCGTCTCCCTACCCTGCACTCCTACCACAGCCAGCAGCCTAGCAGCAGTTATCTCCTCACACGGTTCCGCAGCTGTTCTGAAATTCCAGGGCAGCAGCAGTGACCGCTGTCTTGTACATGTTCCCTGACTGCAAGTGTTCCCTACTTGAAGTGAATCAGGCCTTTCCCCCTCTTGTCCCTCAGGGTGTCCCAACTCGTCATTTGTCACTATAGCCAAGTTTTTGACACAGAATTCTCTTCATGGTGCCAAATTTGTAGAGGGTCCTGATTGGGTCTCCCCACCCTCGGTGTTGTTTGCTGAGTCGAGAGCTGTGGTCCCGGTGGTGGTGGTGGCGGCCCCAGAATAGAGCGGAGTCCTTGACAGGGGCTGCAGAGAGCCCTTCTTGTCAGCTGCTGGTTGTGTGTGTGCACCAGGGTCAAACCTACAACCACTGTGAAGTTCCTTTAGTCCTTAGAGATGAAATTCAAGTTTAATTTTAGCAACACTATTAATATCAGCTGAAATGAAGAAGGAAATGGCACCCAAGTAGACATGTCATTTTGTTTAACAGCCCATTCAGTTTGGTCACTTTGTGGTTCCTCATGAGGTAGAAGTCAGGTGGACCCGGCATGCAGCTCTGATCCTTCCTGAGTCCCCGTCTCCCCGAGAGTAAGGTGAGGCCCGGGAGCTGTTTGTGGAGGTTGACCGATCAATGAGGATTGTGCAGCTAATGGGTCCAGGATATTTTTTAGTTATGTTCGATGGATGCACTTTATAGAGCTTAAGCTTAGGCCAGTGACTACTCCTATTAGGAAAAAAAGTAACCAAAATTATTTTAATGGGGCAGCTGAACCATAAAGGTGTACGCTTACTCGGGTGCCATTTTCTTCATCATTTCAGCTGATATTAATAGTACTACTAAAATTCACTTGACTTCAAGATGCCTTCTCCATGGTAAGTTGTAGCAGTAGACATGATGCTTCACTAATAAAGTAATTCGTTTCTGATTCCTCTCCCAACAGCTTTGAAAAGTCCAGCTGCGTTTCATGAACAGAGAAGGAGCTTGGAGCGGGCCAGGGTAAGGCACGCATTCTTTTCGAGGGCCTCCGAAGAGATTCCCAGAGCCCCTTGCATTGCCGGTCATGTTCCTCCCAGTCTAGCGTGCCTCCAGGGCCAGCCCACGCCTCACAGTTCTAATTAGCAAGCTCTACCTTTTCTGCTTCATCTCCACACAGCCATCTCCCAGCGCGATGATGCAGAACGTGATCAGAAGGAGTTTTCTCCTTTATTGCCTTTAAGAGTATGTAGTGCTCACCGAGCCTTTCTCCTGTTGCTTTGGAGACACTAGTCTTTCCCATGTATAACTCCACCATTACCTTTTGTGGACGTTAGGACATGAACAGCATCAGTGGTCCCTCCATGTCAGTGGCTGCACTGCCCACACCTCTCCAGGGTGGGCATGCACTGGTCTTCATGTGCCCTCAGCAGCCAGTGTCCACTAGAGGCTGTGGAGGCAGAAGCTAGGCCCCCTCTGAGCCCGGGTTCGTGCTGTTGCACCTGGCTTGCTGCCTATTCCCCTTGCTTTCAGTTCCCTCAGGGGCCTCAGGGGGATATTCTGCTGCCCGGTGTGGGCGGAGATGGGGAAGTCGCCAAAACACGCTTCCCCCTCGCACCCCCTTCACTTTGGTCTTTCACGCAAAAGACAAGGGAAGAGAACCTCCCAAAGGGAGGGTCACAGACTGAGGTACCCCACGACCCATAGCTCTTTCAGGGACGAAAATGTTTACCTCCAAGACTTTCCTTACTACCTCCTCTTTTTAAATTATTTTTAAAAAATGTTCTAAGTAGAATCATGATTAATTTTTAGAGAGAACGAGAAGAATGAGGTCATGGGTACTGGGAACCAAAGCAGTAACAAACTGCACTGTTGTAGTGCTGGGAGAGTTAGAGAATATGGGGGGCAGGCGGGGGGGGCAGGAAGGGCATTGCCTGTGCCCCCAACCCATTTGTAAGGCTTGGCACCACTTCCTGACTGCATCTCAAGCAGGCAGGGAGGGAGTAAATATGAGCCAATTAGAGCAGCTGTTATTTTATTGAGTACTTTTCATGTAAAATTATATCATTTTCTTATTTATGCTCACATCAGCTCTTATGAATTAGGTGTTATTATCTTCATTTTCATTTTATAGTTGCAGCTAAGAGAGGTTAAGTAATTTTTCCAGCTAGCAAGTAGCAAAGCTGGGACTCAAACCTTGGTCTGTGGACTCCAGGTATTTTCTTAAGCAGTACTGTATTCTGCCTTGGCCTTGGTCACTGCTCAGAACTTCAGGTGGCTTAGAAAATATGTCTGCTCTGATGGCTGTGACGACCTGCAGTGTCCGACACCTGTTCTAGCATCTTCTACAGCAGCCAGAGCAGTTTTTCTGCCCACTGCAGATGGGGTGATAGATCCAGCGCCCACAGCCACTTTAAACCATCTCACGGAGAGCTCAGCACCAACCCAAGGCTGGCACAGGCTGCCCAGTCAGAGCCCAGGCACCTGATATGGCCAGGCAGGACAGAACCAGGTCTTTACACACTTTCCTATGTGCAGTGTGCTCTGATACTTTTTCTGTTTTTACTCTCCTCTGCTCTAACCTACTGTACCTTATCTTATCCCATTCTCTGCTGATCTTGAACCACTAATGGTCTTGACCTATGGTTTGAAAATTTCTGGTGCAGAGGTTAAGAGCCCAGGTTCTGGAGTCAGACAGATCTGGGGTCACATTATAACATGAGTGCCAGGCAGTAGGGTGGCTTGGGACTGTTGAAGAAATGGCTTAGCTTGCCTGGAGTCTCAGAAATGCGGAAATGATTACATTGGACTTTAAGGAACTAGAATTTTGACACCATGTATCAAAATTAGTATTCTATTTGGTAGTCATTCAGAATGAGTGGGAAATGCTTATAAGATCATGTAAATTTTTTGAAACAAGATATAAAATTATATTCAGTATTATTACAGCTCTGCAAAATCAAACTTGTCTCCCACATGGACGAATGATTAGAAATAAATATCCCAAAATACTAACAATGGATGATTAAAATGTTTTATTGTCATTTTGCTTGGTAATTTTCCATTTTCTTTGATGAAACAATACTAATTTTATAACAGTAAAAGTGATAGAGTTTTAAAAATATATATCAGTAGTCCAACCTCAGACTGACAATGTTCTTGACGGATGGTGCCCTTGGCTGGTGCACTTGGAAGTGGATACGTCCTCCCCTGGCTGCCCTGGGCCTCAGCACCCTGTAGTCTCCAAACTGAGATGGTGGGGGCTGCAAAGGTGACCAACAGCCACCGCTGCTTTTTGGCCCTGTCCATGCCATAAGCTTGTGATCTGGATTTGAGAGCTTTTTGATGGTGTTTTTTTCCCCTGTAGACAGAGGACTATCTGAAACGGAAGATTCGTTCCCGGCCGGAGAGATCAGAGCTGGTTAGGATGCACATTTTGGAAGGTGTGTTAAAATGGCAATGCTTCTAAACCCTGTTCTCACTGTGTGTTCACCGCCTCAGCACCCACACTTCTTCTTCCCTCTCTTGTCACTCACATTTCTGTAGGCAGTGGGTACGCCCGAGCCTTAGCACGCTGAAACGCAATGCTGTGGTTGCCAGGAATTCCCCTGGAAGCACACGTTCTGCTGGGCTGGCTTACCCTTCCTCCTGTGGCCACAAGGTGGCCCTGGGGCTGGTCTCTTGATATAAATTTTTTCCCTCTAAGATCTGTTTTTAAAATGCGTTTGCTTTCTCTTTTTCATTCATTGATTCATTCATTCACTCAGCATTTACTTGAGCACTTGTGATGTACAAGTGAGGTCATCCCAGACACACTCCACCTGGCTCCAGCACACGCTTCTTCCCACATTCTAGTGAAGGCAGTGGCTGCTGAAAGCAGTGTGAATCTCTCCATTTTTTTAGTTTTGAACTACCTTTGGGGTTGGAAGAGAACTTTCCTAGGGTGAACCCCACATTTTGCTGATGAAGACTCTGAGGCCCAGAGCAGGGAGGTGAATTGCCCTGTAACACAGCAAGCTTGAGAAAGTCACTTGGCTGTCTGGTGCTCTTTTCAGCTCTATAGCTCCACCTCAGGGAGTCCTCTGGCCTGGTGGCCATTGTTGTGTGTGGCCACACACTGCCCACAGTAGGGGCTCCTTCTGTCCTCGTGAAACTTTAAGCTGGGCCACCCTTTTCCACCTGGGATGCGCTTTGCATTCTGATGGTCTCTGCTCCTTCCCCAGAGGGAAGGAGACTGCTCTGGAGTTGCCAGGGCAAACCCAGATCCATTTCTACATCCTCCTGCACTCCATTCTCTCCCACGGGCAGAGACCTCGGCTGAGCCTTCCCTTCAGGCCAAGCAGCTGAAGCTGAAGAGAGCCAGGCTGGCTGATGACCTCAACGAGAAGATCGCGCAGAGGCCTGGCCCCATGGAGCTGGTGGAGAAGAACATCCTGCCTGTGGAGTCCAGCTTGAAAGAAGCCCTCATCGGTGAGGAGGCCCAGACACCCTGTGTGCACTTGCAGGCCAGATGCAGAGGGTGGAGGCGGGCTCTGGACTTCTTGCCCTTCAACTTCTTGCTTTGACTTGGGGAACTGAGGTACAGAGTGTGAGAGCCTGATGAACAGGTTGTGTTAGCTTGGGACAGTGCCAGGGGCCACAGGGATCAGTGCCATGGCAACATAGGTGCATAACAGAGAGGCCTGTCCACCTTCATCTCTGTAAACTCAGGGCTGATTCCTTTCACAGGGTAGGTGGGTGTCAGGATCGATGTGTGTAAATATGCGGAAATGCCAGAGATTAGAAATCTGTACCTTACTGGGTTTTTATCAGTGAAATCTCTTTTTGGAGCCTGGCACTTTCCACAGGTATTTCACTTTTCAAATACTGATTGATCCAAGCAGTGGCTAGGTGCTAGGACCACAGCCCCAAAGGCCCTTGGCCTTACAGAGCTCACGTCTAGCAGCAGACACAGGCAGGTAAAATAGGCAGAAGAAGTTCTGTGCTGGAGGGGCACACAGAGAGGGCCTCCCAACCCGACCCTGCCAGTGGGGTGTGGTGTCAGAGGCTGGGCTGGGCTGCAGGGGAGTAAAAAGGAAAGTGCGTGCATGGGAGTGAGGCAGAGCGAGATGTGGAGCTGGAAGGTTGGCGGGGCTTCATGTGTCCCAGTCAGGTGGTTAGACATGATTCCCTTAGATTTTGGTCATTGTTGGTACAGATATGTCTTCTTTGCAACAGTGGACCCAAAACCTGAACCTGGGCAAGGCTGTCTGCTCCTGCCCTTGGGAGGTAGCTGTGCCTTCAGGGGAAGGAGGCTCAACTGCTCCCGCCATGGGCAGGGTACGAGAGGAGAACCACAGGAGTGGACCCCAAAGCATGGCGAGTTGTGCTCTGAGCCTGGGTCAGAGGGGACTGTGGTTTCTAGGGCTTTATCTGCACTGTAAACGGTGGAGCCACAGTGTAGGAGGAGCCATTGTGCTGGAGGTGGGCACACCTTGGGCCCCCAAGAGCCCTTTTATTCACTGCTTTGCCCTGGCATCCATCTGCCTCATCTCAGTGTTTTCCTACCCAGATCTTCACCAGATTCCACGACAGCCCCTAGTTTACAGGCCAGTGTTTGAGCCAAGGTCAGTTCTGGACTCTTCAGCCAGCCAAGACCTGATAAATATTGGCCGAGAGTTGGCAATGTGCCAGGCCCCTTATGAAGGCCTGCAGAGATGAACAAACGATGATGCTTCCCTCAAAGAATGTGGTCTGATGTATAAACTGATGTATAAACAAGTAATCTCTGAGTCTGGCTCCGAGCAGTTGCCAGCATTGTGTAGCAGAAAGGCATGTGCCCTGTGACATAGCTGAGTCACATGGATTGTAGGACAAGGAGCCCAGCACGTCCTTGGTCCTGGGGAGGCTCATGGAAGGGCTGCTGCTGTTAGCAGTGCCGTCCATGGTGGACAGCATGGAATAGTGGGCTGTGTGTCAGGTACAGAGGGAGCTCTGCCAAGATGGGCTTCTCTCAGGGCTGGGGACAGTGGCAAGGGCTGGGGAATGATATGGCCCATTTGGGGTCAACCCGAAGGTTGAATCACATTGTCAAGTGGAGGACAGACGGACATTCCAGGCAGAGGGGACAGTAGGAGCAGTGCCAGGAGGCTTGGTGGAGTGCGGCTTGTTTAAGGCCTGGGAGTAGTTTAGTTTGGCAATGAGGTCATCACTGGTGACGGGAGAGAAGCATTTGCCAGCAAAAGGCAGATCATGCTGGTTGAGGAATGAGCAGGAGGTAAGGAAATGGTGACAGCCAATGTGGTCCATTTGTTCACAAGGTGAGGGGAGAAGGAAAAGTGAGGTGTGGTGGGTAGGAAGGATGTTTAGGCTGGGAGAAGGAGCAGACTGTGGCTGAGGAAGGAGTGGGGAGGAGAGGGAGCTGAGACAGTTCTGGAGCCTGCAAGAGGGGGCTTTTCTGTCTCCCACAGTCGCTTGCTCACACTCACCCTTTCCTCCAGGCCACCCCGGTTGATGTGTGAGATCCATGCCAAGGCCCTCTCTTCCAGAGTTCCCTGAGCCTCCCTTCAGTGTCCCCTCAGCGTCCTTTCCCTTGAGTGGAGCATATACTGTGCTCCAAGGTGATGGCACCATAAACTCCCAGAGGCCTGGACCCAGCAGAGAGGAGCGGACTGCTGGGACCCTGGCCTGCACCGGGCCTCGGGCTTCTTCAGTGCCAGCAGCTTCCTTGGGTTGGAGGGCCCAGGGGTGCAGCTGTAGCTCTTCTTCCTGGTTCCATCATGTGGCTGCTGTCCCAGAGCAGGCCCCTCCCTGGGAGTAAATCATGGGAGAAAATGTAGGTGTGTGATTGGCAGGAAGTCCACGGTGGCCAGCGACCTGACCTCCGTGTGCTGTGTGCCTCTGCCAGGACAGACGGGGTGGAGGGGTGAGCCAGCCCAGCCCTGGGCATTCTGGCTCCATCTCATAGTTGGCTGGTGGAGGAACAAACTAGGGGACTTCCTTCTTAGTCCCAGGGAAGAGAGAGCCAGGTCATGGCCCTGGAGGGGAGAGTTACTGGCTTGTTCTTTGTTCCTTTTCTGTGGTCTTCCCACCACAGCAGATCTCCCCAGCTGTGGCCGACAGCTCACCTTCACGGCGTGGCCACCGCCTCGGTTCCTCTGTGTGGACAGCCGTCGGTGCAGAACCTCTCCCCCGACCGCGCTGAGGCCGTGGCTGGGACATGGGTCTTTTGAAATATCCTACTTGCCCCTGTTACTTACTATCTTCCCTTCCGGCTGTATCCTGGGATTTCCATGCCAGGACCCTGCCCCTCCTACTTCTCCCTCTCAGCCTGGTTTCAGCCAGCCCAGGAGCACCTGCGCTCACGGCCGCCGGCCCAGGGTGGGGAGGGTGGGAATCGCCAGAGGATGGGTTTTCTGCTGGCCTTGGGACGCTGCGAGTCACTAAAGGGAGGCCACCATACTCGCAGTGGGCCCGGTCCGCTTGTGCAGGCAGCCCAGGGAGGAGCTGCACTCCAGAGGTGGTCCCGCTCCTCAGGCCCCTTCGCACACTCAGAGCCCTCACTGCAGGGCCCACAAGCCTCCGGGGGAGGAGAGGAGAGTTTTGTGCAGCCATAGAATGGAAATAAAATGCCTTTAATAGCAGGGGATCTGAGGCAGAGGAGGCAGCAGGTTGCAGGGGCGGGGCAGGTGGGGGAGAACTTGAGTATTAAGACTGACGGCAGTGTAGAGTGAAAAGCAGGAGGCGGAACAGGCCTTTCCTTCCCAGGAAGCACTTTGCTGGCTCAGCAGGACTTCCCAGCCTGCACGCTGGTTCCCTTCTCCTGTCTGCCTCGCTGGGGCGTGGAGGCGAGGAGGCTGAGGGGTGTGGGGGCTGAGGAGCGGGCACCTTGCTGGGACAGCCTCTGGGTGGTGAGCAGCACCCTCTCCCCCTTCCCTGGGGCCGGAAGAGGGGTCTTACTCGGGCTTTGGCTTTCAGTGGGCCAGGTGAATTACCCGAAAGTGGCAGACAGCTCTTCTTTCGATGAGGACAGCAGCGACGCCTTATCCCCTGAGCAGCCTGCCAGCCAGGAGTCCCAGGGCTCAGTGCCATCACCCCTGGAAGCCCGAGTCAGCGAGCCACTGCCCAGTGCCACCTCTATATCCCCCACTCAGGTGAGCTGACCTGCTCAACACGCTTCCCCTGCTCCTCAGGGCCCCAGACTTGCTGAGCTGCCCAGTTCGAGGTCCCTCACTTGGACCAGGCGGCACAGGGAAGTGGGAGGGGTGTTGCCCTGGGAGCTCAAGGGCTGGCTGCTTGAGGGAAGGGAGGTGTCGGCAGTGGATGCAATTTGTTAGCCTCCCTGGCCCACCCGTGTCCACTCATTCAGTTCTGTGATCTTTTCACCACCCTCCGTCTCTCCCTTTTCGAGTTCTCTTTGCCCCCTGACAGTAATGGTGTTCAAGGAAGTGGCTGCCACCCACCTCCAGGCAGGGCAGGGCAGGGCTGGGATGCACTGCCACCTGGGATGGCCCCGCCTCTGGAGCAGCCAGAAAGGGAGGCGTCCTCACTTCCCCTTCTCTCTCAGGTTGTATCTCAACTCCCAGTGGGCCCAGAGTCCAGAGAAACGCTTTTCCTGGCAGAGCAGCCTCCTCTGCCTCCCAGCCTCACCAACGGAACCACGGTCCCCACCGCCAAGCCCACCCCCACGCTCATTAAGGTACAATTCTCCAGCTTGTACCCCGTGCCCCTCCTAGTCCTGCTGAGACTTCACCCCAGGGTAGGGACAGCTGCAGGGGTTCAGGGCTCAGCAAAGCACTGAGGAATGTGGGAGTGCTTTCTGTTCTTGGGGATGCTGGCTGTCAGGGTTACAGCCCCTGTTTACGGAGCACAGTGTGCCAGGCTCTGGACTGGGCTTTCAGGCCTGTAGTCCTGCCCTCCCCGTGGAAACATGCCCACCGTCCCCTCTGGGTCACTGACAGCCTCGAGAGGCGGTGAGGAACCCTGTTCTGCAAGCGACACAACTGAGAAGTGCAGATGGACCCTCGGTCACTCCTCTGGCAGTGCCGGGTGTAGGCTTCTATTCTCTGTCAAGGCCTGACCTGAAATACCTGCAGGGGCGGTTGGGTTTACCGTCAACCCCACGAGACACCTATTGGGGACCTTGAGTGGGGGACACTGTGCTGAGCACCAAGAGCCGCTGCCCAGTCCTCCCTCCCTCAGAGCCTCTGCCTTAGAGTCTCTGAGACCAGGTGCCCTTCCTTCCCGGCCCCGCTCCTTCCCTGTCTGGCCTCATTCTCTCGCCCCCCTGGCACACAGGCCCTGGCCCAGCTGGGCGTCTCTGGTCATCCTTGGTCCTCTGCTCCTGTCACTCACAGCTGGGAGCTGACCAGGTGCGCGTTCTCTCTCCGTAGCTGAGCTCCTGCTGTGCCTGCTGCCTGTTCATCAGTGGAGCTCCCTGGTGCCCTCCTGTGTGGGCTGTGCCCCAGCCCGTTTCCATGGTCTCTGTGAGGCCTCCCCTAGTCCCAGAGGAAGCACCAGCGCCTGGGCCTGGTCACGGTGCTCCAGAGCGCTTGCTGGCTCCGGGCTGCTCCCTCATCACAGGCACTTCCTTTGTCTCTGTGGTCTATTCCTGATTGGCCACCGATGTCAAAGGTTTTCCCCCAAAATTCCTCCTTCAGACTTGCTTCTCGTCATATGACCGGTGCCTTCCTTTGACCACCATACATTTGAAAGAATGTGTATGTGTTTGTCTACACTTCCTCTCCTCTGGGGAGAGCCCCCAGCCTCGCCAGGGAGCCCTCCTCAAGGCTTCCTAATTCCCCCAGCCCCTCTGCCTCTGCCCCCACGGGTCGTGCTCCTCTTTCTGCTCTTCCCTTGGCTTTTCCTCCTCTTCCCTCTCAGTGGGGTTCCCCAGGCCCAGCTCCCAGCTTCCATCCTTAGTCCCTTTCGGCTCCACCCTTCTGAAGCTGCTCTGGGTAGTCCTGTCCCCCCACCCCCACCCCGGGCCCATCTTCACGCACTCAGTTGCTCTGCCAGCTTTGCCGTCTTCTCTTTCTATGCTCCATAGCAGTGGTTCTCAACCTGTGTGTCTCGACCCCTTTGGGGGTCGAACAACCCTTTCACAGGGGTCGCCTAAGACCATCGGAAAACACATATATAATTACATATTGTTTTTGTGATTAATCACTATGCTTTAATTATGTTCAATTTGTAACAATGAAATTGGGGGTCACCACAACATGAGGAACTGTATTAAAGGGTCGCGGCATTAGGAAGGTTGAGAACCACTGCTCCATAGCAAACCCAGAACCTCTACCTGATTCCCATGAAGGGACCACCATTGTCACAGTTGCCAAAGCTCAAAGCCATAAACCCTTGAACTGCTTACCTGCCTCATGCTCCTTTTGTCCCCTCTTCCTCTAGTCCGTCTACCCAAACCTTCCTATTGGCTCCCACTGCCACCTGGTTGAGACCCCTGCTGATCCCACACCGCCTCCACCCTTCTGTCTAGCATTCTCCGCTCAAAGGCGACTAGGCCCGCCACAGCATTGCCTGCACACCCTGCTGGCTCCGCCCCTGTCCAGCTCCACCCTTCCTGACCCACACAGGCCTTCGGCAGGACCTGCTGGCCCTTCCTGGTCTGCTGGGTCCTCATGGACACTCACGTGGGAGGCTCTGTGCCTGCTGGGGTCTTGGAGGCCCATTTGGTGAAGGAACAGTTTTTGGAGTCCCAGCTTCACGTGGTGAGATCGAGATCACTGCGACCATGGGAAGGGACTTCACAGGCCTGTTTCCTCATCTTCACGTGGCCTTGCTGGTTCCTGCCCAGGCAGGATGCTTGCAGGTCTGCACGACCTGGTCTTTGTGAAGTACCTGGTGTGGATGGCACACGCTCCAAAAACAGCTGTTCTACTTTCTTGTCATGTTTCCTCTGCTGGGGGTGACAGTGACTGTATTTTTTGGTTGATTTTCCCTCCAGCCTAGAAGCAGTTCCCTCTGTCAGCCCTTGCCCCTCCTTGGGACACTCTGGGCACTGATTTTGGAGGGAGAGAGTGGGACTGGGTAGGATGCCTCCTTAGAAGCCACTCGTTACAATAGGACGGCCACCAGCCTCCCACTTGGGGGCCTCCCTCTGGAAGCCCAGGATGCCCCCTGACGGCCCCTGTCTCCTGTGCCCTCAGCAAAGCCAACCCAAGTCTGCCAGCGAGAAGTCGCAGCGCAGCAAGAAAGCCAAGGAGCTGAAGCCAAAGGTGAAGAAGCTCAAGTATCACCAGTACATCCCCCCGGACCAAAAGCAGGACAAGGGGGCGCCCCCCATGGACTCCTCCTACGCCAAGATCCTGCAGCAGCAGCAGCTGTTCCTCCAGCTGCAGATCCTCAACCAGCAGCAGCAGCAGCACTATAACTACCAGACCATCTTGCCGGCCCCCCCAAAGTAGGAGCCCCCTCCCACTCCTGCCCATCCCACCCGTGGGTGCCCCAAGATAGGCAGATGCCCGGTCTTGGGTGGGTGAGCCCCAGCCTTCGAGGATCCTTTGGTCTGGATCCTGCAGGAATGGCCCCACACCATCTCCACCCAGCCCTGGGGGTGGAGGGCCTTGGTGGGTCCTCATTTCCACCTCATCTTTTCCTCAGGCCAGCAGGTGAGGCTCTGGGAAGCGGCGGGGCCCCCCCGATGCGCAGCCTTTCCACTACCAGTACCAGTTCCAGCTCGGGCACCCCTGGGCCCAGTGGGCTGGCACGTCAAAACAGCACCTCTCTGACTGGCAAGCTGGGAGCCCTGCCCGCCAACCTGGACGACATGAAGGTAGGTGGTCACCCCAAAGTTAGGGAAAGCAGCCAGCCCAGGCCCCATGCTCATGGCAGCCAGAGCAGAGCTCCAGCCTTGGTAGAGGCACCTGGAATCTGTTCAAGGCCTGCTTGGCTGTGGTCGAGACATCAGCCTTGTCGCGGGTCACGACCACGAATGGCATCAGCCAGCACCTGCCAGGGCCTGGGGCTCACTCAGCCCTTGTGTGTCTCTCCTCTTCCTCGGCCTCTTCCGTGCAGTGTGGGGAACGGGGAGTATTTCCCGCTGAGGATGAGCTAGCGGAGGTGGCTCAGGATGGAGGTCTGGCTGGTGGTAGAGCCCGGATTCAGACTCGGGGCTGCCCACTTCAGCACCTCCACCTTTTCCACTCTGCATTTAACCCCTCCCCTATCTGCTGGGCCAGTGCCGAGCCACCCGGGAAGGGAGTGGCCCATCCTCGTGTCCTGGGACCTTGGAGGGGCGGGTCATGTTTGGGGCCTGGCCTGTTTTCTATGCCTGATCAGCATATACGGTGGATCGAATTCTCCTCCGAGAGTTCACCCCCTGAACCAAGCAGGCCCCTCCTGAGCAGGCCTCATGGGGGCCTTTGGGCACAGGCCTCAGAGCCATCAGACCTGCCTTAGCTCCTAACTGCCGCTCGTTAGCTCTGTGATCTTGAAGAAATCGTTTTTCTTTTGTGAGCTCAGTTTTCTCACCTCTAAAATCCAGTCACTTCATTAAATACGTATCGAACACCAGCATGATGCTGGGGCTGGAGATAGCTGAGGGCACATCCCGCCCAGACGCAGGGTAGGGAGCATTTTAACCAGGCCCCTGGGGAGGTGAGGACGGAAAAAGGGAGGAGGCTGGGGGCATGTGTCTCACCCTCAGGGCTATGGGAGGGTCAGACGGTTGATGTATAGTTACTGACCAATGAGGCCTGAATAGACGAGGCCTAACAGACAAAAAGCTTGTCCCTCCCATCCTTCCCTGGTGCCCTCTTTCCTGGACCCAGTTCCCTTCATCCCCTGCTGCCCTGACTCTCCATCCCCTTGCAGGTGGCAGAGCTGAAGCAGGAGCTGAAGTTGCGGTCACTGCCTGTCTCTGGCACCAAGACAGACCTGATTGAGCGCCTGCGTGCCTACCAAGAACAAGTCAGCCCTGCCCCAGGAGCCCCCAAGGTCCCTGCTGCCACCTCTATCCTGCCCAAGGCTGGCGAGGTGGTGGTAGCCTTCCCGGCGGCCCGGCTAAGCACGGGGCCTGCTCTGGTGGCAGCAGGCCTGGCCCCAGCCGAGGTGGTAGTGGCTACGGTGACCAGCAATGGAGTGGTGAAATTTGGCAGCACGGGCTCCACACCCCCCGTGTCTCCCACTCCCTCAGAGCGTTCACTGCTTAGCACGGGAGATGAGAACTCCACACCTGGGGACACCTTTGGCGAGATGGTGACATCACCACTGACCCAGCTCACCCTGCAGACTTCGCCACTGCAGATCCTTGTAAAGGAGGAGGGTCCCCGGACCGGGTCCTGCTGCGTGAGCCCTGGGGTGCGGGCAGAGCTGGAGGGGCGTGACAAGGACCAGATGCTGCAGGAAAAGGACAAGCAGATTGAGGAGCTGACCCGCATGCTCCGGCAGAAGCAGCAGCTGGTGGAGTGGCTCAGGCTGCAGCTGGAGCAGGAGAAGCGGGCCCAGCAGCCCCCGCCGGCCCCCACCCCGGCCCCGGCCCCCACCCCGGCCCCTCTTGGCGTCCCAGTGAAGCAAGAAAACAGCTTCTCCAGCTGCCAGTTGAGCCAGCAGCCCCTGGGCCCTGCTCATCCCTTCAGTCCCAGCCTGGCGGCCCCCACTCCCCACCACGTAGACACTTGTGCCCTGGTGCCTCCTTCGGTGGTGGTGAAGCAGGAAGCCATGCTGCCTGAGCCGGAGCCGGCTCCCACCCCCCAGCTGCTTCTGGGCCCACAGGGCCCCAGCCTCATCAAAGGGGTGACACCTCCCACCGTCATCACTGACTCTGCAGGGACCCACCTTGTCCTCACCGTGACCAATAAGAATGCAGACAGCCCTGGCCTGGCCAGTGGGAGCCCTCAGCAGGTACCTGGGTGTGGGAGGGCAGGGGACACAGGAGTGTGTGATGGTACTTCTAATGACAGCCTGTTTACTGGGCGCCCCCATGGCGGGGCAGTTAGGCTGGCTTCCTTTAATCTTCCCTTCAACCCTCCATACTGAGGGATTGCCATCCCCATGTCACCAAGAAGGTACTAAGATCTGGGATGGTTAAGGGACCAGCCCATGACCCCACACCCATGAGGGTGGAGCCATCAGTGATTGCCATCTCCTCTGGCCATTGCTACCAGAACATCCTGCACCCTGGTGAGGGCTCTGAGCAGCCCCCACCCAGGCTAGGGCCCACTCTTGCCTCTGCTCCATGGGAGTGGGACGGCCCCAGGTGAGGGTCAGGGAGGGGCTGCTGGGCTGAGCCTGCGGTGACCTTCACTCCTCTTCCCCACTCAGGCCAGCTGTCCCACCAAGGTGCCATTGGCAGCTGACTCCCTGCTGCTGCCACCTTCACAGCGCAGACCCGTCACCCAGCCTGCTTTAGGCTTTGTGTGGCCTCAGCCCTGCAGAACAGGGTGGAGGGGACAGTGACAGGAACCAGGCACCTCAGGATGGGAGACAAGGGCTCTGAGACAGAAAGGGAGGAATTAGCCCAGAGCCCCCCTCCCTCCCATGTGGCTTGCACCAAACTCCATGCTCACCCCACCCTCTGCAGGATCAGAGGTCAGGGCCTCCCCCAACCCTTATTCCTTCTTCCCCAACGGCTTTCATGAAAGCTTCCCGAAAGCCAGTGCAGCTGGCCAAGATGGCCTGGCCTAGATGGTAGGCGCCTCCTGCCTGTGCTCCTTGAGTGTGCAGATCCCTGGGCTGTTTCCCTCACACCAATCACTGCTCCTCTCCCCATTCTGTCCAGCCCTTGTCCCAGCCTGGTTCTCCAGCCCCTGTCCCAGCAGCCCAGATGGACCTGGAGCACCTGCCACAGCCCCCATTCGGGACCTCCACTTCTCTGCCGAAGAAGGAGCCGCCTGGCTATGAGGAAGCCGTGAACCAGCAGCCCAGACAGCAGGTGAAGAAGGTAGACTGAGGCCTGGCCACGTTGGGCGGTACCTAGGCTGCTGGGCTCCTGCAATTCCCCCGAGTCCAGCTGGAGGATAGGGGTGGGCAGGAGCCAGTCTTGTGAGGTCAGAGAGGCCTGAGGGAGGGGGCCATTCTGGTCTGGCTGCCGGCTCAGGGGCAGAGGGGAAGAAGGCCTATCTATACCTTGAGCCTGGCTGGGGGCCTCCTGTTGTAGATTTTCATCTTTTTTTTTCTTCCTATTTTTCTCCCATAGGAAAATGGTTCCTCGAGCCAACAGATGGATGACCTGTTTGACATTCTTATTCAGAGTGGAGGTAAGGCCCCGAGCTGCCTCCCCAACCTCCTCCTTTCTCCATAGGTTGTCTCCAGCCCTCAGTGGGTTGATCGATTGTGTTTTTGTACTTTAGATGCAGCAAGTGCTGAGATGCATGCTCTCCAGGGGCTGGGGGAGGGGGTGTAGCAACACACGTTCGCTTTACCCTGGGACATAGCAGTGAGCAAAATAGTGAATGCCTTTTTGTGAGAGATAAATGACAAAACAAGTAAATTATATCATGTTAGAGAAGTGCTATGAAGAGGGAAGAGAGGTCTGAGGTGCACGGTGGGTGGGTGGTGAGCAGGTGCAGAAGTCAGGGCAGGGGCAGATCACAAGGCCTCCTGGGTGCAGGGTAGAGAAGCTTTGACTCTGACGCCAGAACTACACATCTTTGAGGAGTGTTCAGGTGTAAGGGCAGGAGCCAGGAGTGATCCAGGCCAGAGGCCAGGGGCGAGGCTTGGGAGGCAGTGGTGAAGAGAAGGCTGGAGCCTGGGTATATTTTGGAGTGCCGGTGTGACTTCCTTATGGATTAGGAAGGATGACACCAAGGGTTTCAGCCTGAGTCACTAGGATGCAGCTGTGTGACTGCGGGGGAGCTCCGGTGGGGTGTGGGGGGGACGTATAAGGTGCAGCCTCAGCTGGGCTTAGATTATGTCCCCAAAACTGGAGGAATCAATGTGGACGCCGCCCAGGTGAGGTCTGGGCTGGAGGCAGTAATTTGGGAGTTGTTGGTGTCTAGATTGGCAGAGCCAAGAGGCTGGGTGAACAGAGAGAACGAGATGGAGTTGGGGACACAAGCAGATGAGGCTGGGCAGTGAGCCGCTTCTGAAGCCAAGGGCTGCTGATGGGCGATCAGGGAAGACAGGGACCTCAGCCAGGGTGTTACAGTGGGACCAGGGGCAAGTGCCTTTTAAGTGGGTTGAAGGTGTGGGAAGCAGCAGGTCTGGAGGAGTCTGAGCACAGGGATTTCATTAGTGGCAGCAGGCACAAAGCAGAGTGTGTGGAAGTTCTCTTTCAACTGCCTTAATTACGTCAATAGGAAGAGGATTAAGATGGGAAGGTAAAGTGGGAGCCCAGCCATGGAATTGTACACTTTAAAATGGTCAATTTTATGTCAACATTTTATTTAAAAAAAAAAAAAAGCTCAAAAGCTGACATTACTTTCAAGGTCACTGATTCTGATCTTAGGGAGACTCCCTGGATGCCAGGGTCTGCAGTGGGGCCTGAGGAGCATTTCTGACCAGGGCAGGTAGCACTGAGGCTCCTGGGGCAGTTGGAGAGGCCTGGGTGTGAACTTCAGAGGAACTGAAACTGGAGGGATGAGGCTGTCCAAGAACAGAGAAGAGAGATTGTGCAGGAAGTGGAAAGGGAGCAGGCCTTGAGCTCCAGCCTCGAGAGATGGCAGAGAAAGAGGAGGGGAGTGCTGAGAAGTGGGCAAGGATGCCAGGAGAAGAGGGCATTTGAATCAGATGGGTAGAGTGGCAGCATCCTCAGTGGTGGTATTTGGGCAGGTTGACAAGCTACCTCAGAGGGAGCTGGTCATCTGGTCAGAGCAGTGTGTCCAGCTGGGACTGGAGCAGAGTGGGTGGGAAGATAGGACCTAGGTCAGGGAGCAAGCCTGGTTTCTGCATAATTTTGATTTATTATGGTAAAATACACAAGATTTGCCATTTAACCACTTTAAATGTACAACTTAGTGGCATTAAGTACATTCACAGTGTTGTGCAACCATCACCACTGTTCTAGAACTTCTTCATCCTATACTGACACTCGTTTACCCATTTCACAGTAACCTGCCCTCCTCCCCCCAGTTCCTGGTAACCTTTGTCCTATTCTTTCTGTCTCCATGATGTTGACTCCCCTAGGGACCTCACATAAGTGGAATCATGCAGTCTTTGTCCCCGTTGGTTCTGTCCTCAAGATTCATACACATAGCATGTGCAGAATTTCCTTTTTATGGCTGAATACTTCATCGAATGGGTGTATCACATTGTGTTGATCCATTCTCCACTGATGGACACCCAGGTTGTTTCCACCTCTTGGTTACTCTGCGTAATGCTGCTGTGCCCATGGGTGTACAGATCTCTCAGTCCCTGCGCGCTTTTCACTTATTTTGGGTGTATCCCCAGAAGTGGGGTTGTTGGATCATAAAGTTCTCGATGTTTACCTTTTTGAGGAACCACAAAACTTTTCCATAGCAGCTGCACCTTTCATGCATACCAGCAGTGGACAGGGTTCAGATTTCTCTGTATCACTAATATGTATATTCTTCTTTATAGCCATCCCAGTGGATAAGCAGTACCTCATTGTGGTTTTGATTTGCATTTCCCTGATGACTAGTGATGTCAAGCATTTTTTCATGTGCCTATAGGCCATTTGTGTACCTCCTATTGGAGAAATTCTGAGTCCTTTGCCCATTTTGCAGTTGGGTTTTGTTGTGGATTTGAATCACTTATCAGATATATGATTTGTAAATATTTCCTCCTAATTCCATGGGTTATCTTTTCAGTCTCTTGATAGTGTCCTTTGATGTACAAATTTTAAATTTTACTGTAGTCCAGTTTTCTTCTAAGAATTTGGTAATTTTAGCTCTTGAATTTAGATCTTTGACCCATTTTGAGTTAATTTTTATACATACATGGTATAAGGTAGAGTCCAACTTTAGGTCCTATTGAGGCCTGGTTTCTGACATCCTTTCACTTTCTTGATTGGTAGAAATTTCAGCAGATTTCAAGGAGCCACCATCCCTGCCAGGGAAAGAGAAGCCCCCCGCAACAGCAGCCTGTGGGTCGCCCCTGGCCTCACAGTCCCCACCCTCTGCTGAGCTTCCCCAGGCTGCCCTGCCCTCGACCTCACCTGTCCTTCCTGGGCGCCTGGAGGACTTCCTGGAGAGCAGCACTGGGCTACCCCTGCTGACTGGCGGACATGAGGGGCCAGAGCCCCTCTCCCTCATTGACGACCTCCACAGTCAGATGCTGAGCAGCTCTGCCATCCTGGACCACCCCCCCTCACCCATGGACACCTCGGAATTGCACTTTGCCCCCGAGCCCAGCAGCATGGGCCTGGACCTGGCTGATGGCCACCTGGACAGCATGGACTGGCTGGAGCTGTCATCAGGTGGCCCCGTGCTCAGCCTGGCCCCACTCAGCAACACGGCCCCCAGCCTCTTCTCCACGGACTTCCTTGATGGCCATGACTTGCAGCTGCATTGGGATTCCTGCTTGTAGCTCTCAGGTTTGCCAGGGAACTGGAGGGGCTGGCAGCTGGGGAGCCTCAGGAACTCTAGGGAGCTCAGCTCTCTCCTGCGGGATCCAGCTCTGCGTGGTCGTGAGTCCCGACAATCACAGGCCCTGCTTTCCCCTCCCTGGCTCAGGGTCACCCAGGGGTTTTGGAGACCTGGACAGGCCAGGGACTTTCTATTTGACCTCCTTTTGTGAGGTTGGAGGTACCCTGCCTGGCTACAGTTTGCTCAGGTGGGCGAGGTATGAACTCCCTCCTTCCCTTCTCTTCCCTACAAGGGAAAGAAAAACTGGGCCTCTACCTCCCCATTCCCCGTGACCCTAACCCCAAGTTTCCTAGGCTGGGGGAGGCGCTGCCATGTTAGTGTCTTGCTGTAGAGTAACCATTTAGTGGTTGGTGGCAAACATGTTCTGTACAGGTGTACATACCTCTATATTATATATCGCCATACATATATATACATATATTTTTTGGGGGTAAGAGGTGGATGAAGTTCCCTCCCATCCTACTGTGCACATATAGAAGGGTCTGGAGACCCCTGCTCCACCCATCACGTGTGTTTGACATGTAGACACCCCATCACAGCCTGTACCCCACCTGTCCTGCTCGTTATCAGTGCCACGAGGGCAGAGGTGCATCTTGGCCACCTGCCCACATTCCGTCCTGCTGCCTCACTGCAGCCACCACGGCCCTGGGACAGGAGGGGCATTAGCGCCATAGTGGGGCCATATGTAGCCCTCAAGCTATGGCTTCCTCCTGCCCTGGGGCCCAGCCTCCCTTCTGGCTGTCACTGTTATTCTAGGGGTTTCGGGGGGGGGGGGGTCACCAGTGCTGGGACAGAGGTGGGGAAGCTGTGTGAACTTTTTAAAATAAAAGCAAAAACACCAGCTTGTTAGTTCCTCTTGGTCAATCTATGGATGAGGTGGGTGGTATGGCTGGGCCCTACACCCTAACCCCACCTTCCCAGCCAGGTTGTCCGTTCTAGGCCATTCCAGAAAGGACAGAACCTTGGACATATGGTTCTATGGTCCCAATTGGATTGAAGACAGAAGGTGCTTCTCAAAGACAATTTATTTACAGGCCGAGGAGCCTTTAGCCACCCCCACTCCCTTCCTGAGCAAAAGCAGACAGAGGTGGCTCTCCACCTCCTCATGAGGTTTTTGGTCAGTACAAGCAGTGAGGGTGGGGCCTGGAGCCTCCATAGACACTGGGAGGGATAGAGTGGGCCAGGCCCCACCTGCTGCCACCAGGGTGGTCTCTCCAATCTCCTACCATGGTGCCTGGCCAAACTCCAGTGTCGTCTTCCCTTGGTCCTGTAGCTTGGGTTAGGCCTGGACCACGTCAGCCCCCATCCCAATGCCCTTCTCTTCTTAAGGAAGCAGCTGCTCTGGTAGCCGACCGGTTGGGAGAGGTCTGGGCGTGACAGGGCCATTGGAGGAAGAGTGTCACCCATCTATATCCCAGCTGAAAAGGTGGTGCTTCACCAGCATGTCCTGGACGCCCTCCTTCAGGGGCTTCTTCTCCTCCTGCACAGAGCGAGGAAGCCCAAGGTGGCAGGGGCCCTGCCTCAGCCACCACACCCACCGCAGCCCTCCAGGAGGAAGGCAGGTTGCTGGGCTAAGGACCAACCCCCACCACCCACCTCTCTCTTCATAGGAAGTTCCCAGTCCTGGGAGAGGCTGAAGGCAAAGCAGCAGAGGACACTGGAGGGGAGGAAGGGGAAGCTGTCAGTCACCCTCAGGTCAGCTCCTTCTGTCCCCCGACTCCAGGGCCACCAGAGCAGGGTCCTCACCGGAGCTCACACTTGATCTGGACCCAGCCGGGGCTTCGCAGGAAGGACCAGGGCTGGTACCACTTCTCCACGGTTGGCAGGCTGGAGCAGAGCACCTCCAACCACAGGTGTAGGACCTGCTCACTGAGGACAGGTGGGGGGAGTGGGCCATCCACAGAACCTTCTGAGGACCATGAGTGGTGTTCTCCCCTCCAGTGCTGGCTGGGCTATCGCCACTCCAGGGTTCCTCTAACCCCAGCCCCCTTTCCTCCATTCTCAGCCTCCTCAGGTGTCCCCACCTCCTTTACTCTCAGCCCCTGGCTCCAGCTCCCTCACACTGGGAGACACACTCTGGGACCCACTGCCCCCAGGGCCCTCCGTCCTGTCACAGCTCTTTCCTCTCTGCATCTGAGAGTAAAGGAGGTGGATCACTGACCCCTGCTGGCCAGTCCAGGAGTGAAGTGCATACTCACCAGCCTGCTGGGGTCACAGCCATATTCTGAGCATGTCTCGGGGACATTTGTGCCTCTGCAAACCACTCCTCCTCCCACCCCAGAGGGCAAATCCAGGAACATCTCCTTCACCCAGACCTGAGCCTCACAAATGCCCAAGGCCTCTCAGGCAGGCACCCCCTCCCTAGTTTGCTGCAGTAGACTCATTTCTGGGAAGCCCCTTCACTGGTCATGTTGCTTAAAGTCTGTGCTTCATAAATCCTCAAGCACCTTCCCCATAAAGGAGCAGCTGGTCTCGTGCTGGAGAAAGGTCATTGGGGTCACCCTTGCCACTTTCCATTTGTCTGTCCAACTCCTGGGGGCCTAGAAGGCCCAGCTCACAGCCCCTGCTCCCCCACAGGGCCACAGCCTAGGCTGCCACTCATCCGACTATGGACTGTCACGCCCACAGTAGGCACAGACACTCACTTGAGCCCCACACAGATGAGAGAGCGGAGCTTGACATCCATTTGCGCATGTGCAGCGTCGTGGGTCACATTCACAGACTGCACTGCCTGGGAGGACACAGCTGTCACACAGGTGCCCCAGCTGCCAGCCCAGGAGCCAGACCCCACCCATGGCCCCGCCTACCCGATAGAGCAGCTCCTCCGGGGTCAGAACTTTGCCATCTTCATCCAACCTGGGGAAGAGAGGAACCCAAAGCTGCCAGATGTGCAGGCTTGGGCTGCTCTCTCCCCCCATGATGCTGCCAGGACCCCTGCCAACGTGGGGGACTGGGGCCCAGTTACCTGTATGTCTTACACAGCACCAGGCGAGAATACACCGAGTCGAAGTCTCTCTCCACCTCCCGGCCTGCTGCCTGGGGGTTGTAGGGAGAGAACATCAGGGACAATGGGGTAGGTTCCAAGTTAAAGCTACAGGGTCCAAGTCAGTGCACATCACCAACCCATGAGCTCCTCCTGCCAGCTCCACAGAGCCCAGGGACCTGGGGAAAAGGACGGTGGAGGACATGGGTCCAGCTACGGACTCACCTCCTCAATAAACAGCCAGGGGTGGCAGGCGCCCCCGAGCAGAGACGGCTTCTTCAGTCCGTGTTCAAACAGGGCCTTGAGGGCTGGGCAGAGGGTCCCTCGCACAAGGTCTGTGACGCCCTCCGTTACAGTGTCATCCCCCGCGATGGAGTACTGTTGGTGGGGGACGGGGTCTGAGAGGCCCCAGCCCTGCACCTGCAGCCAGTCACCCTGTCCCTGTCCTCACATCCCCTGCCTCAAGCCAGAACTCGCTCAGGACACAGGCCCTGGCCAGGAGGGTGCAGGCCTTGCCAGGGTGGAGGCAGCAGCAGCTCCCAGGGGCAGCCCTGCCCTGTGCCCTTCTTACCTCTTTGCTCCGTTCATCCAGGACTTCCACAAACTTGGCTGGAAACCAGCCTGTGGGAGAGGCAGGGTCCTGTGAGGAGCCTGGTGTCCCCACACTTCCACCCTTCCCCCCAATGGGGCTGAGGACAGGCTCAGCCAAGTTCCTGGTGAGGGAAGGGGGCCAGGAGGAATGTAGCAAAGAGTGACCAGCCTCACCTCTTAGGCCATTCAGCTCCCCGACCCAGCAGTGCTCATCCTTCTGAGAAATGATCTGTAGAGAAAAAGAGCAGGAGGCAAAGCTGTGGTTGCCTGAGCCCAGTGCCTCGCACACCACCCCGTTTCATCCTCAGCCAGGTGGATGGAAATACTCGGCAGGGAGAGGGCTTGGCTGAGGCTGAATAATCTGGCTGTACCCTCGGGGCCGGCAGGTGGCAGGACCAATGGTACCTGCTCCCAGCAACCAGGCTCCACCTGCCTCTGAGCGCCCACCTCCCAAGCCTCGCCCCACACACCGTGATGATGTCATTCTTGCGAAAGCCTAGCTCATCGTCATCGTGTCGCTCGAAGTCTAGCAGGGCCTTGGCTCTGCGCCGGTGGCTGCGTGAGCAGGCCACATAGTTCTCGTGGTCCCGCTGGTGGCTCTCCATGCTGTAGTCTGGGGTCAGCTCCTGCCAGAGAAGTGGGAAGGCCCACCAAGGGGAAGGCGCCTCAGGATAGGGCTGGGAAAGGAGAGCCCCCCAAGTCGACCCATTGGGCACAGAACTGGGAGCATGCGACTCACCACATTACAGTTTTTGGGGTCAGTGCACTGGAAATGGCGTGCTACGCGCAGGATGGCTTCCCGGAGGTCAGCCACCAGTTCCGTCTGTTTGATGTTCTTGGCCTTGAGTGCCTCTAGGTCGTCCTCCCCTGAGGGTCCAAAAGGCTATGACATCCATGGCTCCAGCCTGGTCCCCTTCCCAACGCCAAGGAAGCTCAGGGTCCACCCCGGAGTGTGAGGATGACGGACACCCCCCGTCTTTGCCGCCCTCCAACCCCAGGCTCCAAGAGTTTAGACTCGACTGGCCGTGAAGAAACCGCTGAACTGGGCCAGGACTCACCGAAGAGCAGGGAGGTGAAACCAGACTTCCTCCGCTGCGTCCTGCGACGAACCACCTGCAGGCACGGGAATGGGTCAGCAGCAGGAGGGCTCCCAGGGCCCAGCCAAGTGGAGGGAATCTCGGCACCAGAGGAAGGACACAGAGCCTTCCTGGGGGCAGCTCGGGCCTCTCACAGGGACTAGCTCATGGGAAATGGCCTCTGAGGCCGGCTGGGGTCAGAAATGTACTGTCAGTTCAAAGCTGGGTCTTCCTACACCCAAACTGGGTGCCACCCCACAGCTGGGTCTGCTGGGCCAGGCCTAGCCTGGGCGGTGAGTTGGGGAGTGGACAGCACAGCGGGGGTCCTCATGGCTCCTCCCTCACAGGCCCACCTGAGAGAGGTTGGTGGTGGTGCTGGTTCCCAGCAGCTGACCCTGGTCTGCAAGGAGGTAGGCCAGGTGCTTGCGGCGCTGGGTCTCCACAGCCACGTCCGTGAGGGAGCCAGCCAGCCGCATGGCCTCCCCCAGCAGCAGCTCCGCGTCCTCCATTTGCGAGGGGATGTCCGACAGCGTGTTGAAGATGGAGGCCGAGTTCTCTGACTGGATCAGCTCCTCCTCCTGGGCCATGTGAGGGGAAAGGGGGAGTCACTGCCTGGCACCAGGCCCATGAGCTGACCCCAATCAGCACCCCAGCCATGTGTGACTTCCCTGGAAGATCAGCTGAGCACAAGGGAGTCCCTGGCCCCAGGAGACACCCCCCCAGGGGCTCTCAGGAGGGGCTCATGCTCAGGCCACAGGATGCTGAAGCGTGGACCCCACTGCATGCCCCAGAGGAGGAGCACCAGCTGCATCTGGCCCATGGGCTCCTCATGGGCAGCTGGGCAGCATGGCCCGGGGAGGGGGCAGGGCTGCAGCCGCACCTTGAGGCGCAGCATGCCCAGCGTGGCCTGGAAGAGCACCAGGGAGCCCTCGTAGAAGAACAGGTCCCAGAGGCGCAGCAGCAACTTGATGTGCACCACGCTGGCGAAGGCCGTGAGGAACCAGTGTAGTGTGATCAGGGACAGCTCTGTGGACACAACCAGGGACGCTGGCATGAGATAGTCTGAGAGAAGGGGCACCGCCAGGAGCTGGGGAAGGGTGAAAAGTGTCTCCCAAAAAGCAGGAGGCCCACCCTGCTCCAAGGGGAGGGAGGAGACAGTGCAGCGTCAGAGAACAAGAGCAACAAAGACTGC